CATATCCAGTAAAAAAAATTAACAACATAAAATTTCTTCATACATTTAGGCCAAAATGTATTCTGCTACATGTCTGTGCTAAAAAAAATCCCAATAAGTGTATAATAATTGGTTTACGTGAAAGTTATAGCTCCTACAAATATATTTACTGGAATTATTTTTTTTATTTTTTTTATACTAGTAATGGCGGCAATCAGTGACTTACAGCAGGACTGTGGGACTGCAGTGGCCATTCTGACACTGGGTGGGAACTAACTGCCACTGACATCCCCAGTGACACTATTACAGTGATCAGTGCTAATAAAAAGCACTGACACTGTGCTAATGACACTAGGCAGGAAGGGGTTAACATCTGGGGCAAAGAGTTAACAGTGTGCAATGTGTGTTTTACATTATGTACTGTGTTGTGTTTTACTACAGAGACATACTGTGCAGAGAAATACAAAGCAGCATGTCCTCGCTGACAGGAGAGAGACTTGTGTTGTTTACACACAGGTCCCTCCCCTGTCAGCTCTGGCGAAGATCACCGAGTCCTGGCCAGGACCCGGTAATTGACATGTCCAGCAGCCAATTGCGGGGAGGGGAGGGTGACACATGCGCGTCCCCTACCTGGAAATGCAAATCACGTATATATACATGACATTGCGCAGCCCTGATGCCCTGTAGCAGTACTTCTGATATAGGGCGGCAGCAAAGTGGTTTTTAAAGACGTTTGTATTGTGCTATAAAGTAAATGTGCATTGTAATAACAATTATGCCAGAATATAAAATCCTGTGAAAGTCATTATTATTGCTACTCTTTGGTTTTATACTCGTGCACCACTTTTTTCAGCACTTTCTTGCTGCACCAGTGGAAGGAGTGGGAGGGTATAGAATTCACTCTGAGGCCCCGAGACCTAGTTGCAGAAAAAGACTGGTGAGCTACTGAGGTCAATTTATTTAGCTGGAAAATGAATTTGAAAAGTTAAAACTGTTGCCCACAGTTCTGGTCCCTAACAGTATACTAACTATTAATATTATCATACAGTATTTATATAGCGCCAAAAGGTTTGCTCAGAGCTGTACATTATAGTGGGGGACAGTACATGAGACAATACAGTAACAAAACAATACACGAGGGGTTCGAGGGCCCTGCTCTTTCGAGCTTACAATCTAGGAGGGAGGGGATAGTGGTACAGGGGGAAATGGCTGTGGGGGATGGAGTGGTAGGAGGAGTGGAGGAGATCGGCTGTTAGGTGAGAGTGGGGGAGGCTTCCCTGAAGAGATGGGTTTTCAGGGTGCGCCTAAAGGTGAGGAGGGTAGGTGACAGTCTGATGGATTGGGGTAGTGAGTTCCAGAGGATGGGGGAAGTCCTGGAGAAGTCCTTCAGTCGGGTGTGGGAGTAGGGCAAGGGAGCTAGAAAGTAGGAGGTCTTGTGAGGAGCGAAGATTACGGGTTGGGTGGTATTTCGGTATCAGGTCAGTGAGATAGTTTGTGGCAGCGTTATGAATGGCTTTGTATGTCAATGTTAGTAATTTGAATTTAATGCGTTGGGCAATCGGAAGCCAGTGGAGGGAATGACAGAGGGGGGTGACAGAAGCGGAGCGGTTGGTAAGGTGGATGAGTCTGGCCGCTGAGTTCAGGATAGACTGAAGCCAGGATAGCCTGTGTTGGGGTAGGCGGTGAAAAGGGAGTTGCAGTAGTCCAGACGTGAGATAATAAGGGAGTGAATGAGAAGTTTAGTAGTGTCTGGGGTTAGGAACGAACGTATTTTGGAGATGTTGCGGAGGTGGAGACTGCATGAGTTTGCCAGTAATTGGACATGGGGTTGGAAGGACAGGTTTGAGTCTAGAGTGACACCTAGGACTTTGGCTTGCGGGGTGGGACTGATGGTAGAGTTGTTGGTTGTGATGGAGAGGATGGGGGGGGGCGCGGGCTGGGGGGAAAATTAGGAGCTCGGTTTTGGAAAGGTTCAATTTGAGGAAATGGAGCGACATCCAGTCTGATATGTCGTTCAGTAGGTGGGTGATATGGGCAGAGACTATACTGACAGCTCTCCTTCTACCGCTTCTTGGTTTAGACATACCGTAATTTAAGATGACAGTAGGACAGTCACCAGGAGGCCCAACCAAAAATTTGCTGTGATCTGCAGTTACACCCCTAAAGAGAAAGATAGACTGTGTTTACAGTGAACACATTTTTGAGTAACTATTGTAGTGTTTATCTTTTTAAGAAATTATTTTATTGTAGGAATTTATAGATTCATAACTGAGGGTAGAATAGATTACTTAGTCCACTTACTCAGCCTAAATGCTTAAAAAAACGTTGAGATAAGCCAATGGCTATGCGGAAAGTGCATTATATTCAGTGAGGAGGATATAATATTGAAGTAATAGATAATGTCCATGCAGGAAAGTAGGTGTTCATTTTGAAAAGTGATTGTTTCCAAGATTAGTAAATAAGGTAGTAAATGTGGCTTTTTGATCAACAATGCCATGGGATTTACCTGTCAATGCTTATGAAATGTTTACATGTTTTTTTTTGATCAGTCAGGGGTTAGAGATAGTTTTGGAATTAGTATTAGTGCCAGCGTTATGGTTAGGATTAGCGTTAGATGTAGTGTTGTTGTGGTTTGTGTTAACATTAAGGATGGGTTTGTTTATCATCAAAGCCATTGATCAGCATGTCAGCCCTGGCACAGTGATCACATGGCTTTGTTTATAAGCAAAGATGTGTAACTTTTTCCATGCAAATATCAGCAAGTGTTCACATGGTAAAATTTGATGTTAATTTCAACACAGTTTTGGAGCAATTGGCTGTAAGCTAGCAAGGCTGATGAAGCTCACAGTGCTACTACATGTCTTGTCTGATGGTGCCAGTGCAATCACATGTACCCCCTCCTCCTAACTGGCCTCATCCTTGGACTCTTCAGAACCAGAATTCCCTTAAAAGAACCTCAGAGATTATGTAATATCCCAGGGTAAAAGGTGGTGGTGGTGCAGTAGTTCATCATGAAACATTGTGGCTAGGAATGAGCTGACAGTTTTGTCCAAAACTATGTTTGGACCAAACATCAGCTGTTTGTCCCCCTGTTTGGAGGGAGCCGAGCATTGCATATAAAAGTATTTCTACTACTTCTATATATGACAGCTTCAGGTGCTGGCACCTGCTGTGTCCCTAGCAACTGCCACTATCACCAGCACATTGCTTACATGGCAGGGAAACCCTGGCCACGTAAGCAAAGGGGCTTGGATATCAGTGACATCACTGTCCAAATATGGTCACTAGCCATTTTGCTTGATAATGTCACACCTTTAGTGTGGTCACCTTATTTGCGGAAGCATTTAATTATCAAAGCACCAGAGATTGGCCAGGAGAGTGCGGAGAAAGACTGAAGGAGAAGAAAGTGTTCAGATGGCTGAAGTGCTGAACTAGGCCACGGAGCCAGAGTTGGAGAGAGAGGAAGAACAGAAAGAGCCTACATAACCACTCAGTCTGCTACTCTGCCCAGAAGGCTAGTCTGACAGCAGGAGACCAGATGGGAACACTGAGAATCCATGTACTGACCCCGTTTAGAGAGAAAGACAGACTGCTACAATCTTCTGGATTACTTTGATTGGGTGAGAGAGACCCATGCACCCACATGCCACCTCAGCTATTTAACTACACATAGTTGTGAAACATTACATATAGTTGCCTCGGTTTGCGGCCTAGCTCTCACAGCCGCCATTGTTGAGATACATCTACATTGCAATTCATTGTACAAGCTCACTGCAGGGCATACCGTCGCAGGCCAGGATAAAGCAGTGCCAACTGAAACAACAAGTTTTGCTTCTTCGGCAAAACAGGATTCCCATTATTGTTTATTTTTGCCTTTGATGTACAGAGGGAGCTGTCTTTGCCTATAGACATTTATGCTAATTGTTGCTATTCATTACTTCAAATCTGCCCCATGTTTAGTGCTTTAAAGGGGACCCCGCTTTAATTCGCTACCATCAAGAGGAAAAGTGTTAAATCCCCTGTGTTCCTTCACTATCTTTGTGTTACCATCCCAAGGAACTATATTCCACACCTCAACTCAACTTCATACCAACTGGGCCCCAACAAGCACACAGATGACACTTTAGTGTTCTTAAATGGACAGTGCTACATTTCAAATGGTTATTCTCTTTCCTTCCCATTCTTCCTAATGCTTGTCATCTAGTTCTGAGGACCCGCAATGAGCTTACCTGTTTCTTGATAGTTGTTTTCTGCTCATTGGGGAATCAGCAGTCCTCTCAGATTGGAGGCAGTGTATTATATCTGAAAGCAGGCCTGCTAACAGTTAATGTTGCTTTATGGTGAATATCGTTACTTTTGCTCACAATTACCAAGAGTGATTATATTTGCTGCATAAATCAGTGTAATTTTGTTCTTTTTGACAAAGTTACCTTTAATTCCAATATAAACTTCATATTGGTCTATACTAACTTGTGTGATTCTCTTTGGTCACAAGAGCACGGTGGTGTCAGCAGAGGTTGGGCTTTCAAAAAGAGATTCAGATTCACAGGGAACACAAAAATTACAAAACAGCCCTTAAGGAGGTAGTGCTACACATATTCATAACAAACCTTTGCTTAACCACCTTCCGCCCACCCTATAGTACAATGACGGGTGCAAGGTGGTTCTCTCATTCTGATAGGATGTCATATGACGTCCTACCATTCTCACTGCGCCTGCGCGGCTCAGGGAGCGCGCAGTGTGGCTCAGGGTGCACACAGCGTGGCGATCGCCGGTCCGCTGTGTCCATCGGACACAGCGGATCATGAAAAGAGCTGAAGATGTCGGCTCGGTCATGTGATCAGCTGTGTCCAATCACAGCTGATCACATGTAAACATGGAAATGCCGGTTATTGGCATTTCTCTCTCCTCTCAAGCTGGAGAGGAGTGCCAGTAATCGGCTTTCCGCGGAGGGGACATGTACACTGATCATCAGAGCACTGATGATCAGTGTGTCCTGATGATCAGTGTGGCCCCAGAAGTGCCACCTGTCAGTGCCCATCAGTGCCACGTGCCAGTGCCCATCAGTGCCACATCAATGCCACATATCAGTGCATACCAGTGCACATCAATGCCACATATCAGTGCCCATCTGAGCTGCCTTTCAATGTCACCCATCAGTGCCAGTCAGTGCCACATATCAATGCCAATCAGTGCCACCTATCATTGCTGCCAATCAGTGCCAACTATCAGTGCCAGTCAGTGTCGCCTATCAGTGCCAGTTAGTGCCGCCTATCAGTGCCAATCAGTGTCGCCTAACAGTGCCAGTCAGTGCTGCCTATCAGTGCCACCTATCAGTGCCATATATCAGTGTCATGTATCAGTGCTGCCTTTCAGTGCCCATCAGTGATGCCTGTCAATGCCCATCAGTGCAACCTAACAGTGCATCCTCATCAGTGCCCATCGGTACCACCTATCAGTGTCCATCAGTGCAGCCCATCAGTGCCCATCACTGCAGCCTCATTAGCGCACATCAGTGAAGGAGAAAAATCACTTATTTACAAAGTTGTATAACAAAAACTAAGAAAAAACTTTTTTTTTAAATTTTCAGTGGTTTTTGGTTTGTTTAAGAAAAAATAAAAATCCCAGAGGTGATTAAATACCACCAAAACAAAAGCTCTATCTGTCTCCAAAAAAATTATAAAAAATGTCATATGGGTACAATGCTGCATGACCGCGCAATTATCATTCAAAGTGTGACAGCACTGAAAGCTGGAAATTGGCCTGGGCAGGAAGGGGGTATAAGTGCCCTGTAGGCTAGTGGTAAAAATCAGGGATTATTTGTTTGCATATATTATATAGCACTGCCCCAGAGGAGCCACTGAATTGTTTTGATATATCTCAACACACCTGCAGATGACACACTTCACTCACTCAGCACTTACCAACACACCTTGAAATATTTCAAATAGTTTATTAGGCTAAGCATAGCCTAAGAGAAGAGGATTAACAAGTGTGCTTATACAGACAATCAATAAGAGAACAGCATTTCTCTGAGAGATTAAACACTTGCAGTATTCTGCCTAACAGTAATTGACAGAACTGAACTGCAATTACCTAGCAACAGCATATAAAGGCAGTCATAACTTGCTCTAACAGTCCAACTGGCCAGTGATGTATGAAAAAAAAGAACAAGTTTCTTCAAGTTAGGGCCCTTGAAGAAAGCACAAAGTTAGGGCCCTTGAAGAAAGCACAACAGTCCCCAGCAGACAACAGACTAACTTATGAAATGCTAGTCTCTTACCAGACCCAGAGCACCCTCCTCTGCATATCCAGACATGTGCTCTGGTTTAGTTCAAGTCCTCAGAGAGAGATAGGAAATGCTGTGATGGCTTTCAATCCTGCTGGGACAGCCTCTCTTTTCCTTCTTCCAAGTGGTAGTAGTGCTCTCCAGCACAGTCTGATCTCACAGTCATCCTAATCAAACCTCCCACCCTCCCAGGGAGAAGGTTCTTACTCTCTTTGCTTCTCTGAGTTCTCATCCTATTGTGGTCAGCTATGGCAGGGATCCGTTTAGCCAGCAGCACTAGTTCAGTCTTTTCCCCACACAACTGCTTGTTTCTAGTCAGTCCTCCCCCTTTCTTCACCCGTCTGTCAACCTATTTCTTCTTGCTCTGTATCAGCCAATCACGTCCAGGATCCAGTCAGACACAGTCAAGATATCAGCTACAGTCCAGGTTACATTTGAAATACATTTTCATGCTGGCCAATTGCATCAAAGTGATGCCTCTCTGGCTATTCCCTGATCTTCTTTGTAGATCTTCTTATTACTTGCTAAGTAGCATACTCTTAGAAGCATGGACATATCATACCAATATAGGGCAAACAGGTACAACTAGAGGTAAGCTACAGACCAAAATCTAGTAATACGCTTCCACAATGAGAGAAAACACAAGGTTTTAGAGGACCAACAGGTAAGCTAGTAATCTATGTACTTAACCAGTTTTGTCCCCAAAAACACCAAATAAACAAATAGCACAACATACCAGGGGTTACATCACAGAGAGCTTAATTATTTACTCCCATTAAAGAATAATCCTACAAATTCAGGCATCCCTATATACAGAATATATCTAGACACCACTAAACTACTCGTACACTCCCTGATTAGCTCACGCCTTGACTACTGCAACTCCCTTCTCACCGGCCTACCCCAGTGCAGGCTCTCCCCGCTTCAGACCATCCTGAACTCATCGGCTAGACTCATCCACCTCACCAACCGCTCCAGCTCTGCCACCCCCCTCTGCCTATCCCTCCACTGGCTCCCGATTGCCCAACGCATCAAATTCATACTACTAACTCTGACCTACAAAGTCATTCACAACACTGCCCCTAACTACCTCACCAACCTGATTCCCAAGTACCACCCTACCCATACCCTTCGCTCCTCACAGGACCTCCTTCTATCTTGCTCCCTGATCTCCTCCTCCCACACATGACTGCAGGACTTTTCCAGGTCCTCCCCCAGCCTCTGGAACTCACTACCCCAATCCATCAGACTGTCACCTTCCCTCCTCACCTTCAGGCGCTCACTGAAAACCCACCTCTTCAGGGAAGCCTACCCCACCCTCACCTAACAGCCGTTCTCCTTCATTCCTCCTACCACTCAATCCCCCACAGCCACTTCCTCCTGTACCACTATCCCCTCCCTCCTAGATTGTAAGCTCGAAAGAGTAGGGCCCTCTTACCCCTCGTGTGCTGTTTGTTGTTGCTGTATTGTTTCATGTATTGTCCCCCCCCCCCCTCTATTGTACAGCACTGAGCAAACCCTTTGGCGCTATATAAACTCAATATAATAATAATAATATTTAGCACTGTGTACAGGTGGAGACTATTGTATGTACAGTATCTGGCAATTACTAATGAGTTGGGGTTAGGATCCAGACCCACATGTGTAAGCCTGCCAGGAAGATGTCACCTGCCCCACAGCTGTATGTGTACAAGGGGTGCCCACATGAATTTGGATCCTAGTCTGAATTTGCCCACACTCATTACTGCTACAACAGTAAGGTGGTCCATAAATATTAAGCTAGTGTTGTGTATTGAGCATTGTATGCATCTTAATATATTTGTTTTCATTCTGCCTGAGCAATAAATGAAATTAACCATGCAAAATGTATTAATATGTCCAGGGAGCAGAACTCCTTACCTGCCTATATATAACTGTTTGGGGAAACACACATAAAAGAGACAAATAGTATGAACATGCACCAATAAATTTGGAATAATGTTAAAAAAAAAATTTACAGTGGGGGCGCATGCGTGGCCAGGATCGATGGCGGCCGCACTTTAAGTGAGCTCCGCTCATCCCCGGCCAGTAAAGACTCACCCGACAGCCGCTTCCACTCCTCTTCAGCTGTGGGTGAGTCCTACGTACCCCGCACCCGGCCCGGCACTTGAGGAGACTTGATGGGGAAGATAGGGCGCTGGAGGCCCCCCTCCCCGCAGTCACGTGACCCGCGGCCGTCGCCGCTCCGGCGGTTCCTCTCCAGGCCGCAATCCCCGGCCTCTAGTATGGCTGGGAGCCCAGGAAGGGATCGCGGCCCCCCAGTGGTCGCAGAGGGTACTGCACCCACGGATGTTCCAGCCTCTGCCCTGACACAATCACTGCTGGAGGACTATGAGCCCCAGCATGCTACTGGGGGGGTTGCGGAGCAGTCTGCATCAGGGAAGCATCCTCCCTCCATCCAGGCACCTCAGCAGGCCACCTCATCAGCTTCCCTCACATTGTCGGCGTTGGATGATAAGTTACAAAATTTTTTGCCCAACATTACTGTGTCCATATCCACGGAGGTGGGAAAGCTGGCCTTGGAGCTTAGAGGGGAAATTGCCCAGATTGGAGACCGCACGGACAGATTGGAAAACGAGTTTGATAATTTTGGTACAATACGTCCACGTACTGGAAGAAGATAACGCTTACCTGAAGCACTCCATGTCCCAAATGCAGCTCCAGCAAGAGGACCTGGAAAACAGGGAACGGCGCCAAAATATCCGTATTCGCGGTATGTCCGAGTCTATTGCAGATGCACAGCTGCACTGTCATCTTCTGTCCTTCTTTACTGCCACTGCCCCCTTAGTTCCAGTAGCAGATTGGCGTATGGATAGGGCTCACCGCTCCTTGGGCCCAAAACCTGCTGAAGGCACCAGACCACGCGACGTTATTGTTCGCTTTCATTTTTTTCAAAGCAAAGAAGCTCTACTTTCTGCTGTTCGTCATAAATCATCGCTGGATTTTGAGGGTGACAGACTCCAACTCTTTTGCGACCTGTCCCCGATTACGCTGGCCAAGCGACGAGACCTGAAGCCGATTACCATGCACCTTCAACAACACCATGTCCCTTACCGTTGGGGGTTTCCCTTTCGGTTGGTCGTAAATAGGGACAATACCCAAGTTGTGCTCCGTGATCTTCATGAGGCGGACTCCTTCCTAAAACGCCTGGGACTTCCGCCTCTGTCAGAGGATGGGTCCTCTCTGCCACCAACTCCGTCTCGTCCGTCCGCCACCCCCCAGCGGGATTTGGACCCCGGTTCGCAGAGGTCGGAAGAGACCGCGCCATCCTCGGTCAACTGATCCACCTGCTTGACGAATCTCTGGGGCTACCTTCTGGATCTGGTGATGAACCTTTTCCTCCTGGGTTTTTGGTTCTCTCTTGCACTTTTTTTTTTTTTTTTTTTCTTCTCTACATAATTTTCCCACGGGTTTCCCTTATCTGTCCGGCCAAATTGTGTTGGGTGCTTTTTTCATTTTTGATTACTTTTTCTTTGCTGGCCGGGTTTGACGTCCTCTCCGATGTTCTGGTTGTCGTGCTGCTCCCGATTTTGTCTAGCCATAGGCCTAGACGACTTGGGTCACATTGTTGCTCCCGAGTTTATATCCTTGCGGATACTTATTTCTCTGTTTTTTTTCTTCTTTACACTATTGCCTTGCAAAGTATTGTGTTCAACTGTTTGATGTTTTTTTTTTTTTTACTGTATTACATCGATGGTATTCCATTCATTTTTCATGCTATTACATGTAAAACCGTTGTCGTTATTTTATAATGGCTTTGCGGTTTCTGTCATATAACGTCAAGGGCCTCAACTCCATTCAAAAACGGTGGATGGCTTTGAAGGAATTCCGATCCTCAGGAGCAGACATTATTTTTGTCCAAGAGACCCATTTCAAATCGACTGGCTCTTTCCGTTTTGCCTCGAGATTTTTTTCCCAAGCGTACTCGGCCTTTGATCCCTCTGGGAAGGCCGGGGTGGCAATCCTTATTGGGTCACACTGCTCCTTCGGGTTGTTTCCTCCAAAGTTGACCGTCAGGGTCGTTATATTATTTTAGAGTGTATGCTTGGCGAGACTCCCCTTGTTC